ACTGCAGATAACAGTCAGCTGAAGTGGCCTGCAGTGCTGCATTTAACCACTGCGCCACCTCGGCTGAATTTTCCACCTAAACGGATTCCTGCAGCCCTTCACCAACCAAAGCGGGGTACATGGGGGCTGTGTGTACCTCCTGTGCCTCATTTTTTTGCCCACTATGGCCTCCAGCAGCACTCTGCCAGCCAAAAACGGGCTGCATGGAGGCCTCCTACGGCTCCCCCGCAGCCTGTTTTTGGCCAGCAGAGAGCTGCAGGAGGCTGAGAAGGCTGGCAGAGGCCCTGTGGGCTGTTATTTGGAGGCCAATCCTGCAGGCCAGATTTAAGAAGCCTGTGGGTTGGATCTGGCCCTCGGGCTTTGAGTTTGACCCCAGTGTTCTAGTCCAACCACTACGCAAGCAGGAAACCCTATACCCTTCGAAACAATTAAGAGTTTCTGCTTGTTCTGTAAAAAAAAGGAGGGGGGTTCTTAGTTGCCCCATCTCAACCTGCATGACTGCTGTGTCTTGTCTTCACTCTGGTCCGTTCCCGTAGCGGGAACGAAGGCACGTTCTGATTGGCGCTGCCCCATTGACCAGCTAAGGGGCCGATGGGACACTAGGCTGTACTCACAGTCTTTTGAGGCCTGGCCTCTCTGCCCTCCCCTTGAGGTTTACTTGGGATGACACCATCCCAAGACCCAGAGTGACCACAGCACACGACGAGAGGCCAGAAACAGACTTACCGGAGGAACCGGACTGTGATCTCACGTTGCAGACTCCGAGCAAAGTTGGCAGGGTTGCTGCCCGTTCCAGGGGCTACAACTATCCAGAAGCCCACTCTGACAGTAAGCGGAGGACTGCGCAGATCTGCGAGGGCCCAGCGCCGTCCAGCTTATGTCCAGTCAGCATGCGCCGACTAAGGAGGAAGGAGTGCTGCGTCTTGTCTTCACTCTGGTCCGTTCCCTTAGCGGGAACGAAGACGCGTTCTGATTGGCTGCCTGTCTGACAGCTAGGTATAAAAGAGCTGTCAGACAGTCAGAACAGCTGTTGTTGTTGTGAGCCAAGCAGCCATGTCTTAGTAACTCTGTTAGCAGTTAATAAATGGTTAGTGTTACATGTACTGTCTCGCCTCCGTCTGCCAGCCACTGTTCTGGGTACTGAAT